CTCATGATCAATGTATTTCTCCTTAATCTTCTTGGTTTTCTTTTTCTTATCCTTTCCAGTATCGTCCTCTTCATCTGAGCCCACATCTTCAATCTTGGGCTTCTCTTAATCATCCTTATCTTCCTCTTCTTTTTCACCTTTTTCTTCCTCTGCCTCATCATCACTGATTTCCTTCTCTCGTTCTTTCTCCAGCTAAAATACCAAATGTAATAGTTAACTTTATTTTATTTTTATAATAGTTAACTTTAAAAAAAAAACACAATGCTAGCAAAGTAAGAGTGGCAAGCAGCTGGTGCAGAAGAGCTACAGGGCATACTCACATAAAGGGTGATGGGGTAGCCAATGAACTGGGAGTGCTTCTTTACCACCTCTTTAACCCTCCTCTCCTCCAAGTACTCTGTCTGGTCTTCTTTGAGATGAAGGATCACCTTGGTGCCTCGGCCAATGGGCTCCCCATGGTCAGCACGGACAGTGAATGACCCCCCCGCAGAAGACTCCCAGGCATACTGCTCGTCATCATTGTGCTTGGTGATCACAACAACTTTCTCTGCCACCAAATAGGCAGAATAAAATCCAACACCAAACTGCCCAATCATGGAGATATCTGCACCAGCCTGAAGGGCCTCCATGAACGCTTTCGTGCCCGATTTGGCAATGGTTCCCAAGTTGTTTATGAGGTCAGCCTTGGTCATGCCAATGCCTGTGTCCACCAAAGTCAGCGTTCGCTCCTGAGGGTTGGGGATGATGTCAATCTTCAGCTCTTTGCCACTGTCCAACTTGGAAGGGTCTGTCAGGCTCTCATACCGGATCTTGTCCAAGGCCTGTAAATATAAACTATTACTTATACCTGCTTTTTAAATAGCTCTCCTCATCTAAAGAAAATCTTGTGGCTTTCTGTTCCCAAATAGCCTCACCAGCCAGTGTTCCACTTGTCTGAGACAGAGCATTTCCCCTTCTAAAGGTGGTTACCAGAGTTACAACCAGCTTTTTAGAACTGTTTACCCCTTTCTACAAGGGTCCCAACAAATGTCACCTTCTGTCCTTAGCAGTGTGAACAAGCAACCCCCCCCACACAGCACACCCCAGGAGGGAAGACGAGAGCACTCACATCAGATGCATTAGAGATCAACTCCCTAAGGAAAATTTCTTTGTTGGAGTAGAAGGTATTAATGATCAGAGACATAAGCTGGGCAATTTCTGCCTGAAAGGCGAAAGTCTCCACCTCCTCCTCCCCATGGTGCATCTCCTCAGGCATCTAAAAGACACAAAGGTACAAAGGAAGCGTTAAAAATCCTGACATTCACCCGAGTTTAAGACCTTATGACGGTGCATTAAAACGGCTTTGGACCTATTACTATCCTTTCCCAAGAGACTGAAAACGTCTCTTGAGAGGCCCTAAGCCTCATATTAAGGAAAAACCAATCCGTAAGTGAAAGAAAACCTAACGCATTCTTTACAAGTCCCAGGCTCTTAGCATCCCCCAGCCCAACGCGGGCCCCCACATAAAGATCCTCAGCTAAAGCCTACACTCGGCTATATACACCCATCACTTACTGCTCACTTAGGTGATTTAGGGGTGCACCAACCTAACAAATATACCAAGTGCTTTGCTGCGCCTCTTAGGTATCCAAGTCCACAGAAAATGGCACCTCGCCCAGGTGAGCGAGGACCACCCTAGGGCAATTAACCTGGGACAAAGAACTGGCAAGGCAGAAGCTCCACTGCGACCCCTGCGTGCAATGGGAGCCCAGGGAAGATGGTGGCCGATCCTCATCAACCCCCACAAGCGCCCGCGGAACAGCGAGGAGGGGGCGCCGCGTGCACCCTCCCACTGGCCCAGCATCCGGGCATTGGGGCGGGGCGCCAGACTCCAGAAGCTTCCAGAACAAGCTCAGCTACCGAGTAGAGGGAGGGATTACGTATGGAGCAAGGCCGCCTCCCCCGCGCATCCTCACGCCCGGAGGTGCAACAAGGGGTCCGAAGGGGCGCAATGGCCTCACTGGGGACCACACGGACACAACTCCCGGGAGAAGCGCACAACGCCGAGGCCCGTGCGGCGGCCGCGCTGAGTCACCGCGCACCGCAGCCCCTGTAACTGCGCCCGGAAGTGGAGACCAACATGGCAGCGTCCGGGCGGCGCGGCCACCACGTGCGGCTGCTGCTTGACCCGGCCTCAAGGCCAGCGCCGCCCCACACTCCCGACCCCCAGGACACCCTCAGGGCCCACACCTGCTGCCCACTACAGGGCCGCCAGACCCGACGCCCGCAAGCCAATAGCGGGGCGCTACCCAGGTTCCCAAACAGCAGAGGAATCAAGAAACAAACGAGGGCCTCGAGGGAGAAGCCCAGGCCGGAGAGGCCTTACCTTGGCCGCGAAGGGCTGGGGTACAAGAGAACAAGTCGGCTCCGACCGGGTCCGACGCACCGCAGGAGCAGAGCTGCGCAGTGGTGACTCAAGAGAGCTGCTGTGCGCCCCCGGCCGCCCTATATAGGGCGGAGCACCGCCCGGCGCCGGGACACAGATTCCTCCGCCTTAAAGAAGGCACAAAAAACCCGCACCTGCTCCGCCTGCTCTCGGTAACCTCCTCCAGTCAGAGGGGGGAGCCTTTGAGCACCCGGCTCCACAAAGGCAGCGGGGACGGCGGCCAAGCCGCGCGGGCAGTGGCTCAGGCTCACAGCCCCACCTGTGCACGTAACTCACGACCTCCTCGGATTAGGAGCGGGAGCGATTGTGGGATGTAAAAGAGGTCTACAGACTAGGGCCCCTAAATCCCTTCAAATTTAGTCTTCGGGGAACCGCAACAGAGCAGACTGCCACCACTTCTACGGCTGCCCCCAGGTCAGATCCTCTGAGCCCGCCCCGCACCCATCACATCATGACCGCCGACCCCGCCCCGGATCCCGGAGGGCTTGTAGGGGCAGACGCGGAGGGGAGGGCTGCGGGACTCTTTTCCGGAGCGGCGGAAGGGGTGACGGTGCTGCGGCTTTCCAGCAGGTTCCAGACGCCTCTGGGCCCCGCCTCTCGCAGCCCCAGCCCCCACTGGAGGCTCCGCCTCCATTGCGGCCGAGAAACGCTTTGGACCGGTGCGCCTCCTATCGGCTCTCCGGGTCTTGTCTCGGTCAGCTCCCTGCGTGCAGTGAGCTTTGAGTGGCCCGGGGCCCGGGGTGGGATGGAGCTGGACTCGGCTGCCTTCCGGGAGCTGCAGGAAGGCCCGCCTGACCGGCGGCCGCCGCTCTCCAACAGCGGCGGAAGAGGCGCTGCGAGCCCGTTTGGCTCTCTTGCTGGTCGTCCCCGCTTCCTCTTGAGTTGCATCCTACAAGCCCCAGTATAGATGGTTTTCGCGAACAGCCCCTCCGTGCCCTTCGCACATGGGGTCTACATTCCCCTTTAACGTCCCGCAATACTGGGTAGAGGTATGCACAAGCCCAGGGCTGGTTCTCTCTCCCTGACTGGCTTTGTTCATGGCCGAACCCAAGGAACAAAGGCGGACCCTGGCCTTGCTTGGTGACCCCTGTTCCACAGCCTGGAAGAAGTCAGCGATGTAGAAAGGGTCCCACAAGGCATGCTCCCATCCCAAGTCGGGAGGGGCCCAGCTCTGTAAAACACTGCCTCCTGAGCCGGGACTCCGTGCTGTGCTGGTCTAAATCCTTGTCCAGGGAGAGTCTGAGCCACTTGTCACCTGTGAGCCAGTGAAAGTGAGCCAGCAGGTTTAATAAACAGGAAAAACATGGCTTTAATGACTACCTGGGCTCCCAGCCAGAGCCCTGCCTGCTCCGGAAGTGGAGGGGAGCTCCCAGGACCCAACTCCAACGCACTAGAGGGATGATTGGTCCAGAGCTAGACTCCTTGCAGGGACAGGACCAGAGAAGACTGAGGGTCCCCAAGGGCTTTCTAAATTGGGAAAATCCCAAATCTTACAGGAGCATGAAAGTTGCTTACTCTTATCCTGGTACAGTGGCATGTGCCTGCAATCCCAGGCTTTGGGGGGTTGAGGCCACTCTGGGCTACACGGTGACCGGAAGGCAAGTTTGAACTAAATAAATAGCAAGACCCTGTCTCAAAAAAAAAAAATAAAAAATAAAAATAACCAGAATATTAAAATAACAAAAGGCCAGGGTTATAGCTCAGTGATATTATAGACAGCCAAGCTAGGTAGAAATATTAAAGGCACTCAGATAGGGATAGGCCCATGGGGGAGTCAATGCAAGTGATGAAAACTATGACCAGAGGTGCATCTGTTGGAGAACAGACCTCATGATAAAGACAAAAAAGACCAAGTGGCCAGGCCTACATGAGATAAATAATAAATGACCAGGCCCGAGAGATAATAAATTAACATTAATATCAATCACCCCGGTGGGTGGCTGAAACCCCAATTGATCTTTTCCTAAAAGACCCTGGTTCTTTCCAGGTACATTTGCTATATGACCTGCTTCCCCTCTGGATTAATATGACCTAGATGGCTAAATTTGTAATCTGATTGGTTGATCACAGTTTTGTCTGTCTTTCTACCCACTTTGTGATTTTTACATTCCCTGTGATTTTGTACCCACTGCGATTTTGCTGTATAAAATTTCCTTGGTAGACCTTGCAGTGACACATTTCCAATGTCCCCCATCTCTCTCGGGAAATGTATCTCTCAACAAAATTTTCCTACTCTTAATCTCTGTTGTTCCTTAGAATTCATTCTTGAGAGGAACACAAACAGCATACCCTACCTACATCTAGCAGGGAGTTACATTTATTTCCCCTACATCAGTAGGATGCTCTTGGTCACAATCCCCAGCAGGGGGAGGATGGTTCCATTCTTTTGGAGGGAGCCTTTCCCAAGACCTTGCCTGGACCCGGAAGCTCCATCCTTCCCCTGCTCTTGTGACGCTGAGCTCCACTATGAGTCTCACTGGAGTTCTGGCTGCAGCAGGCCTGGTGAACCTGGAAGCCAGGAGAAGCATCAGGCCCCCACCTCAGGTGAAAGGGGGTAGGGGAAGAGTAGACTCAAGGCCATGCGTGGAGGGGTACAGAGACCACAGGGGGACCATGGCTTAGAAATCCCAGAACCTTGTTTCCAGGACCCCTACAACTATCACAGTCCCAAGATACCTTTTCTGCCCAGTCAGGCTCCTGACACCTGTTGTTAGAGAGGGGCCCTCTGAGTCAGAGAGTAACAAGCCAGGCCTTCAGCTGATGGACTGAGTGCTTTTTTAATGGCCTATGGGCAGAGAAATTTTTAAAAACATCTTTTAATAGAAATAATTCTGGAATAAATGCTTCCCTGGCAAGCCTAAGGGCCTGAGTTCAATCCCTAGTTCCAAAAAAAAAAAAAAAAGAAAGAAAGAAAAAGAAATAATTCAAAAGCACTGTTTTGACAAGTGAAAGTTGTGCGAAATTTTAATTTCAGCATCCATAAAGTTTTGATTTTTTTTTCCTTCACTTTTTCCCCCTGCATTGAGGATTGAACCCAGGGTCTTCCTTCACTGTGAACTACATCATCAGCTATTTCTTAATCTTTTACTTTAAGACAGAGTCTCAGCTAAGTCACAGAGCTGCCCACGTTGGGTTCAAACCTGCACTTCTCCTGCCTCAGCCTCCCAGAGTTCTGGGATCACAGGCGTGCACCACCACACCTGGCTTGCTCAGGTTTCTGGGCAGAGATCATATAACTTGCAAGCTCATATCTTCTCCTCTCTTCTCTTACTTTTAATGGAAAAGCTTTGCAGACCTCTGAGCTAGCCAAAGTTAAGTTTTATTTGGTGTGGGAGAGGAAAGGGTTGAAACTGAATCAGGCTCCGTGGCCCAGACTAGTCTTGAACTCACCAGCTAGCACAGATTGGCCTCAAGCTAGATTTTCTGCTTCATCTGATGAGTGCTAGGCTGCTGAGTGGTTTTACAAAGGCGCGGGGGCACCAGGCTCTCCAGACATTGTATGAGCAGGAGTGTAGCTGTGTCATTTATCAGTGCGAGGGACTAAACCCAGTCTACGCATGGCACGCATCACTGTACCACTGAGTGCACTGCCTGCTGCTTAACTCCTGCATTCCTCAGGGAACACCCTGAACCCACGCCTCTCCCACGGGTGACCCTGATGCTCAGAGGACCAATGGACAGCTGGCAGGTCTGCACTGGCCGCATAAACCCTGCCTCGTCTCCCATTTCACATTCCAACAGGACACGAGATTAAGTCTTACACAACTTTTTCTTACTTTGCTATTAATACATTTTTTTGTTTTGATACCATAGCAAATGGAAACTTGTTTCATTTTCTGTTTTCCAGGAAGTTTAAGCACACTTGACTTTTTGTTTATTGATCCAGCAATTTAAAACCTCACTCTTCATGTGTCTGTCAGTTTCGCAGTGTTTTCTAGGCACAACCAAATCACCTGGGAATCAGAGCTGGGTTTCTCCCTTTCTGGTTCTGTTTCTTGCGTCTTACACCAACTAGCTGGGACCTGCAGGACAGTGAGGTGTGGGCGCCATGACTTGGGGCGCTCCTCTCATTCCTGATCCCTCTGGCCCTTTGTGTCCTCACTTGCTACACATTTCAATAGAAATACTTACACTTTATGCATCTGTAGAAGATATTTTTAAATTAATGTTTATATGGTTGATGTATTAATGGACTAATATTAGACCAACATGACCTGTTTCTTTGAGGATTTTTGAGAGCCATCCCACCAAAAAACTGCCTATGGCTGTTATATTCCATATGAAAACAATAAAACTATGGATATTTTTTAAAAATCTATTTGGAGGGGCCGGGGAGATAGCTCAGTAGAATAAGCGCTTGCCTGGCAAGCACAAAGGCCTGAGTTCAATCCTTGGTT